AACAGGGAGGTGAAGGGAATGGAACAGGTATTTTTCTCTTATACCTCTGAATCTCAGTAATTTCATAAAATTTTCTTAAGCAATATTTCAGCAATATTTACCCTTTAGAAACATCTATTTTTCTGCTTTACAATTTAACTTCTTACCTTGATCAGGATATGCTATTAAGATACCTGCAAGATAATTTTATCAAGCCAACAGCAAATAGTGCCCTTATTACAGCAAAGTCATATAAAAGTGCAAAAGAAATATAAGTTCATTTGCATAAAATGCACCACAGAAATGGGGGAGAGAGTTTTGATTAAATATATTCTTATAAGCTCCATCTTGCTCAACTCTTTTGTTCAAATGGATGACATCTAAGAGCTCTGTGGCTCCAGGTGAGTGTCCAGTAGGCACTACTTATTCTGACCTCCAGCAAGTCCTTTATGAGTGCTCGCCACCCAAGTGTACAAAAACAACAGTTCATGTAGAGCCGTCAGTAGTATTTTTATATTTCACTCTGTAAAGGCTGCCTTTTCACCATTTTAGTAACAGTCAAATCATCCAATGTCAACGGGAGATGCTAAAAGAAATGAGTTGATATAATTTCATTCTTCCCCCTTTTTTGTTAGCATTTGCAAATATAACTGCTTGCTAGTCAGCATGGTGAGGCTATGAGTCAGGCTTCCTCAAAGCAATATAAGGAGTATATATCCAAAGCAATATGTAAGGATATAAATACAAATATATTAGTTCAGTGCTGGGGATTCAACCCATGCCTCTGTGCATACTGGAAAAGTATCAGCCCGATATAAACTTCTTAATATGATTCACAGACTATAAATCTGCTGCAATACTGCTAATGTTGGGATTTATTTCCCTTTACCTTGTGCTATGACATCTTCCATTACCGAATGCAATTTAGCGCTGGAAAAACTCTTGCTAGTAAGTACACAGGCTAAATGATGATGATTATACGGGAAGATGAGGGACACGAGCCCTGTGATATAGTGTGACACGTAAACGAGTGATATGCAAGGTCTGAAAGCAATACTACGTCTTGTCTGAAGGGAAGGATCACTTCTTGTTCACGGTTACATCCCTAGAACATAACTCTTTACCTTGCTCATAGCAAATTTGATGTTGCCTGAAAGGAGGGTTACTAGTGTTCCACATTTCCACTGTAAAACCAGGATTTCCACTTTAAAAGGAGAACGGAGGGGCTGGGGATTTAGCTCAGTGGTGCCACTGCCTGCCTCACAAGCACAAGCGCCTAAGTTCGATCCCTGGTACCAAACAAACAAACAGACAAGGAGAATGGAGGTACATCTATAGCAATCTGTTGTGTATCTGCTTTTCTGAACGCTGATTTCTATGCACAAAGCATATGCTACGAGTTATAAGAATGGCAAGGAAACTGAACACACAGAATTTGGACATGAGACTCTTGGTTTAGTTGAGGTGAGAGATATACACAAGTGTTAACTCCTAATTCTAGAGAAAGAGTAACGGCATGAGACATGCACATGACCACTGGCTGCTATGGACTAGTGTCCTTAAGGAAAGCTATATGAATAAGGCGGAAATTGGGTTAGACCTTTAAGAATAAAAGATGGGGGGGGGATAGTCCAGAAGGAGCGGGGACAGAGACAAAGGAGCAGTCATGTGACAGGGATAGATGGTGTGAAGTTTAAAATTTAGGACGCAGAAAATAAAGATGGCAGAAGAAACAAAGATAGTAATGCAACGGAGAAGCACGTACGTTCTATATATTGATCACCTCGTACCAAACATCTCTGCTGGGAAAAAAAAGTAATGTTAACACTTATCTACATTGTACATGCTGCAAACCGGGGCAAAAGTGAGTGAGATGGAGCCCAGAGGACCACCCCGGAATTCCCAGGGCCGGCGAGAAGCGAGGAGCTGAGCCTCGGCAGGAGGGGCGATGACGTGTGACTTTGAGGGCAGGGTCAGGCAGGGAGACGCCAGGGAAGACGTAAGGCACGGGAGTCTGTCCTTAAGGGCTTTGCTTTCAACACGGACGTGACTTTCCGATAGTCTTAGGTGACTTATTCTCCGTCCCAATTTCCATTTATTTAATATTTTTAAGGATGCAAAAAGGTCTAATCTGTATGCACAACTATTCTGCAAACAAGAATGAAATGCACAAGGAAAGAGAATTTTGAGTCAAAGATACGGAAAATTATCTTGCACATCTATAAAACAAAGGTTAAGTAATAAGAACCTCAAGGAATAGCAATAATTAAATATTTAAAAGCAAGCAAATGTGTGGGGAGGGTCCTTTTCTAATGATGTTTAGGAATTGATATAAGTAATTTATATACTAGTTAATCACAGCCACATAGATAAATCATCCATATATCGTGTTTATGTGTGAGAGTAAGAACTGGTCTAGTAAAACATTTCCTAAAACTTTCACAGACACTTTACTATGAAAGTTACTTATATAGACCCTTCAAACTTAAATTCGTTAATATAATATTGATTAGTGAAAAATAACTCTTCAGAGTATTTCCAAAATAAAGCATATCTATGCATAGATGTACCATGATGTTTCGAACAGCATGAATTATATCCTCTTGATGTCCACAGTCTTGCTCTAAAAAGCTAACAGGACCTGCACTATATCACGGTTAATAGGAGCGTGGTGCTTGTTGCTTAGGCAACAGGATGAATAAATGCAGGTCAGAATGTGCTTCAAGAAAAACAAAAGCTAGAATATGATATCAAGTGGAAACTAAGCAGGCCTAACAGATATTTTACCACATGAATGAAGTCTGTTTCTTAAAGCGGGCCAATCATATTAGTGTGCTTTGTTTATAAGTTTATGGGAAAATTAGATTATGGAAATCAATGAATAATCTTTAGAAAGGTAGAAATTAATCTCTTATGATACTAGTAGAAAATAAATGGGGTATAACAGCATGTAAAGCACTAATCAATGACATCATTTTATGATTTGCTTCATTTTCATAATTAATTCTACATGATCAAAATTTTAAAAATATTTTGTCTCATGAAGAAAGTACTTGATTAGCTCATCTGAATTAACAATATGTCCTATTTTTATATAATGTATATAAAATAAACTATATATCACTTGGAATTAAACAAGTAAAGAAACCTATGATTAGACCTTGGTTTTGACACAAATGTCCCAGAGTTTTGCCTTCCAGATAGAATTCGTACTAGTTGTACATAATTCACTCATGAATGTTTTTTAAGATCTCTCCCCAAATTCTCATTTGAAATCTGTTTGATTAACCTTTCAGTTAGAGGCTTGCAAAAGGATTATATTTGTTCATAAGTGTTTAACGTTCAAAAGAAAATTAAGCTGAATTAAAGTCTTTCAACATGGCTAAATGATCCAGGAAATCCAGCCCTGACTTTTCATGGACCAAAATAAATCTTGGCAAAGGTTGGAAGGGTGGAAATAAGAAAAGCCCATTTCAAGTAGAGATAAGGAGGAAAAATAAAGATGTCAAAATAGGCAGAAAACACGCATAATGATGAAATGACTTAGTTCCTCTGATTCCTAATACCATCTGTTTAGTGTCCTCAATCTGCCTTGAAACTGCTCTCCGTGTCCTAAGACTTCCACAGAATTTGAAGAACTTGCACTTTTTTCTTGTTTTCCTATTTCAATATCCACAATATATCGTCTATCTAACCAGTGACAGTACTTCAGAAACACAAGAAAAATAAGAGTAGCTCATTATTTAAAATACATCTCATGATTATAAATAATACCTCCTTATTTAAAAAACATTCAAAAAGAGTTGTGAATACATTATTACTTCAAGCTCGTATGACTCACTACATTCATGTCTTTTTTTTTTAAAGCTAACAGGCATACACATCTGATAGGGGAGAAGCAGAAGTTTAACAATCCTAATAATCTTTAAATCTTTAATAGTCAAGTCAAGGTCAGAGAAAAATAATTTCAAATGGCAACAAAAAGAGCTGACTAGCCCCAAGTATTGTTGTGATCAGTTCTGGTATTTAGCGAGCTGCAGGTGTCAGCTTCAGGGTTTCATTTAAGAACAGCTATGAATTATTTCTACTAACAACGTATCTGCTACATGCCTGTGTTGGGTAGGTCTCTCAATTCAGGGATCACTGGTGAGCGTGAAGAGACCCAGGGAAAGCAACAGGGCTGTGACGTAGCCCAGCACGGGGAACTGATGTGACCGGGGGGTATGGAAATGGTTAGAAAGCTCCCTGTCGCCCGCACACTTCCTCATCCTCCTGCCACCTATGTGCAGCCCAGTAGGAAGTCTGCACATGCAAGGCTTCGGCTGCATGTAGACCGGGATTCAGAACTACACGAATACACTTAGCACATCAACCCCTCTTTCTAAATACTGACAGCTAAGTCACTCAAGTGTTTGTTTTCCACCTAAAGTCATAAACAATACTTCACGGCTCTTCAATCAGTGTGTGGAAGTAAACGCTCTCCGTAATTGACCATCTGAAACAGTGTGCTAATGAACTGAAGGTCTTTCGCATGATTTAAACTGCTCATTGAACAATTATCGGGAAAAATGATCTTCACAGCATCCACATCACAAATTGTCTAATTAATCACTGAATGTTGAGTCTCAAGTGAAATAATATGTTTTAAGGAATCAAGAATTAGCTGAAGAGTGAGATAATCTAACTGGGTATTCTAAGATCGCAAATTTATAAAACACACACACAACAAAGCATGACAGGGAGAATATAAATGTTGATCTTCTTTCACTGCCCACAAATAGTACTCTCGCCGGTTCATTCACTGAACACAGATGTATACGATGCATACAGATCTCATTTTTCAGCAAGTGTCTATATGTACACAGTAAGTTCAGTCCTAAGGGCATCCAATTTTCGGATGCAGTTACACATAGAAAAACTGATCCGTTTGGGTGCAAATCAGGCTGCCTCTGAGCCATGTAAGACACATAAGAAGCAAAGACACACAAAAGGCGGCCCCGTGGACACAGAGAGCATCTTACCATGAACTGCACATTGTCAAATCCGTTAGCCATCAGGTGGTTCTCGTACTGAGGTAGCCCAATGCTTTCCAACCATTGTCCCACTGTTTGGACAGGGCATCTGGGTCCTGTAAGAGGATGAAGAGGGAAGCGTTTAAGCAGGGAGTAGCCGTCCACGGGGTAATAGCGGTAGTCCTGGGCTGAGAGGTGGCATTGCCACATCATGCTCCTGGGAAAGTTGCTATCAAAGGAGCCCGCCAGCTTGACAGATTAATGTTCTCAGCGAGAGAGCAAAGTCAGAAGTAAAACATAGTTTGCCAGGCAGGCTGTGGAGTCTGACTTGATCCTAGCTCCACATTTCTTACATATTAATCTTTACTACCGACCAGTACGTCACACAGCCCCCAGAACCAGGCAGGAGAAGAATGCATATCAAGCTGTCAGCTTAGGCTGGTCTGCGTCCTGCGTGATTGTTGGAGTACTCCACAATGAGCGAGCGATGCGCGGCCAGCAGCCAGAATTCTTTTTATCAAGTACTCCTACACTCATCAGTATGCAGCTCCACGCTCCTTGCTCCCCCTCGCTTGCTCCCCTTCATTACCCAGCCCAGGCTACACCTCGCATTTTCAATAATAGCCATCAGATAAGGCAGATTTTTTTTTTTGTCTGCAAGCTGTAAGCCTGCTGCTGCTGCTTCCTCCTACACACCCATCCAAGCGTCAATCTTGAATGATGAGAGCAGTCAAAACAAATGCAGAAAATAGCAAGACTCAAAAGCAAACCAAAGTGCTTAAATCTGAATTGAATCTTCATACTGGTTATACATTACCCGGCTATTTGTTGTGGAATTTTACCTTTCCAAAGACACCAGGAAATGAGAAGCTTAAACTATAGCTTACAGCAGAGCTCACTCCAGGTTCCCTTTTCCCTTTCCCTTTCTTTCCTTTCCTTTTAAAATGCGGCACAGATAAGGTTCCAGGCTCTACAGCTTTACAGTGTTTAGAGAATAATTATTCGTTTTCTTTACCATGCTGTATCAAAACGAACCTCTCTGAGATATTTTTCTTTCCTTTTTGAATTACTGCAACACACAAAACTGCATTGTAATCCTGAAACCACGATAATTTGTTCCTCATTTGCATGGGCTTCTTCCAAACAAACATATTATTAGGCACAAGAAATCCCTTTCCTGTCTGGTATTTATAAACCTATCTACCAAGGTTACCACTCTAAAATAGCTGTAAAGGTAACATTAACTGAGTAGATTTTTTTTAATACTGAAAAGGAGCCCTATCTTCCAAAAATAATTCAGGAATAACAGATGTAAATGCCTGAGTTTTACTGAATGGCAGACAGACTAATTTATTTAATAATTGGGAGAAACCACAGATTAATAATAGAACCACAGGGCTACATCGTCAGAAGAAGACTCTTAAGATTGGGAGAGAACTCGGAAAAAGGTGAATTAACCTCTTTCCAAAGGTAGGAATCCCTCGTGACAACGTTCCTGGAAGAGCATCATCCAACTTCTGCTTGAATGCTGCCCCTGACAGAGTCCTTACTACTCACCAGAAAGCCTCTATTTATTAGAAAAACATTTTACTTCCTACTTTACTCCTGCTCTCTACCTCCAGCTTTGCCTTTGGAATCACGCAGATTAGGGATGATGCCTCCTGCACATAAAGCGCTTTAAGAAATTAAAAGATAAGTCTCTTATTCCCCAGAACAGCACCAGGCACATAATAAGTGCTCAATAAATATGTATGGAATAAATGCAGTATCACCGCTCCTCTGTCTCTAACTTTCATCTTTCCGTTCCCTTTCCCTCTTTAAGGGCACTGTCAATCTCGTGGGCACAGACATGAACTCTGCAACCCTCTCCCACCTCTCTGTGCTGCTGACATCAGTCCCCAAGTTTCAGATGTCCCCCGTCACAGTGCCTGCTGCCCGTCCTCCTAATTCTGTTTCCTATTTTACGTTTATGGAATGTCCATCTACTTTGTTTTTGCTCTTTTTAAAAGTTTTTTTAATTGGGCCCCAAGTCTGAGAATTCTTTATTTTAAAAATTACTGGCCCTAATGCAACAATGAGTCATATATTGGTCCTTCTACTTAACACTGAAAAACAAAGTCTAACTTATACATGGTGTCAGAATAATTCTCCAAGACAAGTTTTGATAAGCATTCCCTGCTTCAAATAACCTGTGGTAAGTTTTTTTTATTGGTGTCAAAATAACCTCCCAACTCCTCTGATGACATTTTGGGGTCTTCATGATGACTGTATCGCCTAACCTTATCCCACCTTTCAGGATAAACCTTCCAGAATTCTCCAGCAAGGGAGACTGGCTCCATGTCTGCAGGAAGCCTTGGAACACTGGTTGGTTTTTCCATGGTCCCACATTTCTACCTATTTGCAGGCTTCGGGTCACTTCCCTTAGGAAACGTCTTCTACTGTCCTCCCTAGTAGGAAGACATCTCTTTCCTCTCTCTCTTAAACAGCATTTTAGACCTTTTCTATGACAAATATTTTCTACCTTACACGACAGTTATTTGTGTATAAGACTCATTTCTTGAAAGTAAGGACTATGTCTTGCTAACTCTTTACATCGTGAGGATTTGGTTTGCACTCGTTGAATAACGTAATGCACTTTCACAATCCAAACTGCATATAGACTCATTTTCAGATTTAAAATTTTTAAAAAAAATTTAACCCCACTTAAAGTCTTTGAATTCTTTATTTTTTAAAAAGAGGCATGTATCTTTGTTTTTTTAAATAGGATTTTCAGGCCTGGATTTTAGTTCATCGTCTTCATTCTCATTCTGAGTAAGCATCCACGGGTGGACTGCTTTGTACTTAATTAGAATTTATTCCTGATTGGCTCTACATGTTTGATCGATTCTTATTTTGATATCCTGGGGATTGAACCTAGGCTTGCACACGTACTAGGTTCTATCACTGAGCCATCCTCCCAGACTTGTTCTGCATCTGTTCAGGAGAGCTAAGAATTTGTAAAAGTGAACGAATCAATTTTGGTACATTCTCATTGCTCAACATTACCTGCATGAGAAGCCAGAAATAAGATGCTATTCGTTTGTGGCTAGCTCTAAAGCTGTTACAGCGTGAAGCTAAAGGTAAGTCTCAATGCTAGCTTTTCCTGGGATGCCATCCACAATATTCCTCCTGAACAATTTAAGGCACGAGCAGGTGCATTAAGTGACAAAAAAACTGAGCAAGTATGACAGTAACATTTTGGCTTGGCGAGGCATAAATTGACCGGCCAGCTCCTCAAATTCTATCTCATCTTTTAAGATGTAAATCAGGGACCAAGAGCCTAGCAGAGCAACACACAACTCCAAGTGTTAAATCATCTTCTTTGAGTGAATGAATGAATGACATTAGGAATGGCTTCCCTGGTAGTGTGGCATCTTAATAAACAGAAAGGGAGCAGTATTTCAAAGTTCAGAGTACTGCAATAAAACATAGTTTAGGGAGATTATTGGTTATTAAGTACTCTGGAAATCTTTTTATAGACTTCCTGATTTTCATTCTTTTAAGAATTTAAGCCTTCAGTTCCCATTTATGGCAAGAGGCTATAACACAGGTGAATTGAGTCAGGAGGGAGTGAGGCAGTGGAAAATGGTCAGGGAGAAGGAGGGAAATAACCAGAAACCTTGAGTCATGTTCCTGGTGAGTGATTTTGTTATCAAATATTGTCTTATGAGTCAAACTGAGAATAGAACTTTGGGTCAGGCTCGACGAGCACTTTTTTGGTAGTGTTTAAGTATATGATTCACTTATAATACGTTATTGGAATTTAAAATTCTTACAGAATAACAACTCATTATCGGGCAGGTGGCTCCATTCCACTAAAACTTATACCCAGATGTGAGATAAGGGGGTGGATTCAGGGCTTCTAGGTTCTGAATATTGTGGTATAGATTATTATTCTCTTTTACGGTAAGGAACCCAAAGCTCAAAGAATGAGATGAAACCAGGAATTGGCTTTGGCACCATCTTCTAAAAAACACAATTCCAGGAGTTTCTCTCCAGGAAGACACTGTATTCCGCTCCGCAGAGCCAACTCCAGCCCAGAAGCGTAACTGCCGAAAATAAAACAAAAGCATTCCCAAACTAAAACTCAAAGCAGTAATAAAAAGAACCATTCAAAGCCTATGCAATGTGTCCTAAGGCCACATAGTTGACAAAGAAATATTTATTCGGAAAATCTACTAAAACTAGTAAGAACAGAAAGATTCTGTGGCTTGTTCCCCTTCCATACCCTACGATGACAGACGCCTTCCCTGCTCAGCTCCCAAACTGCAGATCAAAAGGGCCAGACAACCTTCCCACCCTACTCTCACTCCAAATTCAGAGATTAAACAGGTCAGAAGCTCCCTCCCTTTCCCAGCCACTCTCTCCCTAAGCCCCATTCTTGAGGCAGGGAGTCCACCCTGGTTTCGGGGCGCCAATACATTGCCTACTTCAGGGTGGACAGCCCGCGCAGAGACGCAGAACAGAACAGAGGCCGGTGCTGTTGGCCAGAGCCCAGCACAGTGCAGTGGCTCAGTGATTTTGCCTAGTGGGAGTCAACTGTCAGAGCAGAAAGCTGTAAACTGGCCATTTGTGGAGCCCGAGAGGTCAGCCCAAATTATGTACTTTAAGTTGAAAAAATAACTGCATAATAGTCCATAATGTAGCTATACCACAGTTTATTCAGTTCTTTGCCTAATATCTCTAGGTTCAACTCTTTGTTTTCCTTAAACTTCTTAAATTTTTAGATAACTATAGAATGACATGCAATTATGAGAAGAGAGACTGAGATTCTTTATAAACTTGGCCCATTCTTCCCTGGTGACACGTCTTGTACAACCAGAGTACAAAATGTCATAACCAAGTCAGTGGCATGGATAAAATCCATTGAGTTATCCAGATTTCACCCGTGTTACATGCTCGCGTTTGTACATGTGTTTAGTCTGATGCAATTTTGTCACGTGTAAAATCATCGCCACAGTTGAGACACACACAGCACCTTAACAAGAATCCTTGGCAGCTTCCCATAGCTGTGGCCATCTCTTCCCTCTGCAATGCCATTTCAGCTGGAGACTACTAATCTGTTCTTTATTTCTGT